AGTGGAGTGCGTCCGGTGCTAAGTTTAACTAATACTATAAAGGTTTTATTGCAGTATCTGTGCTACTCCAGCTGGCGTTTAAAACGCTTGAAGCATTTTTTGTTTGTTTTACAGTCGGTAGATTATGCAACTAGGAAGGCAGACAGTTGACACCGGGCAGTCTGCGTCAGTATAAAGAGAACCTTTCAGCACGCGAAACCAATATGTCCGCTGGCTTAAGATGGAACCAAAAATCAGGAATTACAAAGATGGATGACACACGTTTTAGTTTCTAACGTTGCGCAACAAGACAGGTTTTCGAAAACGGGTAAAAAGAGTCGAAAAGGAGAGAATATCGGACACCATGCAAGCGACATCCCCTTACTTATTCAGGTGGAAGAGCAAACGCATTAAATTCCTGAGGTCGGCTACTGGGATATATCCAAGGACAAAATTGTATTGGCCGCAGAACCTACTATTTCTATATTCAGTAGCATCATGCATGATTTTTATAAAGCCTGCTAGAAGTAGGACCGTTAAGTTGTGCTAACCTTGGAGCAGTTACTCATTCATAAAGTGGGCGGTTTTAAATCTCGGTGTGTACTTGTTCAATTTTGAGCCGTTACGAGTAATCCACTGCCAGATGCAATAGCGGATAAATGTGATCTAAGGAAGAAAGCTGGGTCCCTAAGTGTTCAAAATTTAAGGAAAAAGTCGGAATATGGAGTGGGTGTCCAGAGGTAGGCCGATAGGCTTGGAACAGGAAATAAGAACGTTTAGATATCAGAAATGCACAAGCAAGGAGATTTCACAGAGATTCTTGTTTTATCTTCTATCAACGAGATGTGGTAACCGTTATATCCATAGGACAGAGTACGTTTTAAATTTATAGACTGCTTTTTTCAGGGGTCGGTAAGTTTTATTATGTCGATACAGAAGCAACAGATGTGCATTAAGCCGCAAATTCAGTCTACCGACGGGTAATGGTCCTTCTCTTTTATACGTCAGCCATTAGTGGTACCGGCTTTACTTGGCTCGAAAAAGCGCATCCCGGCGCATAAAGAGGGAAAACGTTTATTCGGATAAAAAAAACTGAAGAAAGTTTGAACATTACTTTGCGACTATGAATTTAAACAGGACAGAGGTAACAGGGCAGGTAAAACCTAATGACTGTAAAATTTAATCAACCGTCCCTTATTTTCAAATGCCCTGTCCCTTAAACCGTGTGTATGCGTTTAAATATAGACATGTCTGAAAATGCCTTGAGAGCACGCAAAGACAAAAAACAACTCGTTTAGTTGGACGTTTGCCGAAACAGTTGCTGTGAGAAGAAAGAAGAGTACTCAGAGGGGAAACAGGGGAACGCGCTGAATCTCACGGCTGATTTTGAGGTCCCTATTACGAGTAAGAGAAATGACCTTGTTCTCTCGTTCTCCGTTCCCCGCCATCTCACGACATCTCACTGAAAACTAAACTCGTTCACCTATTCAACTTCCTTCCCATGCCTCGAACCATGCTAACTCGCATGCCTGATATGCACGCCCTGCCGTTTATCTACTAAGCCCGTTTTATCGCCCTAGGTTATTTGCTTACTGAACCCCTTATTCTCTAACCATGTAATGAACGTGAGAAATTAGACAAGAAATCACGAAATTTCATGACATCATTAAATATTGCATGTTTCGGCAACGTTCATTTTTAAAAAAAGGACTAATACTTCGGAACCAGCCAGT